TTTTATGTGTCAACTTGTCTATAATTTTGTGTTCTATTACATCTCTTATATACTATTTAATTATATTTTCACGTTTTATCTAATCCACCTCTCACATTTTATTGTTTAATTCTCATCTCACATCGCAATCTTCATAAAAAATAGAAGGTACCACTTTTTCCTCCTCTTTTTTGTTATTCACAATTTTTTCACACACAATTTAGAATTTGACACAAGTGTGTGCAACACTTTTTATGATGAATAAAAATGACTTTTAATATCAATTTTTAACTTGTCATAAATTCTGATGATATAAAAAGTCTTGATTTTTGTGTTGGCTATAAAAATAACCAACATAATATGTTTTCACTTTCTATGTTGATTATAAAAATAATTGATATAAAAAGTCTTATTTTTATGTTAACAAATATTTTTTACTATGCACTTTACCTTTTATCACATCTTTTCGTGTTTCGCTATCACCTTACTCTTTCTTTCTTGTTGTCATATCTCTTTGCATTTTATCATCACACTTTTTCTCTTTCATTGCATCTCTTCACATTTTGTTGTCACATTTATTCTCTCTCATCACATCTCTTTGTATTTTCCTTTCTCCCTCTCATTCTCATATCTTGTTTTGTGTCCACTGCATTTTGCATTTGAACACCACCATGTTTAAATCCAAACCCCCACACTATCAATATTTACACTAGCAATAGAAAACACACAAAAAATTATAATTTACCTAGATGTGTGAGAAGGAGAACAACAAGGAAAAGAAAACAAAACCAAAAACGAGTCTAAAACATGAACTATGTTTTCAATTTAAAATTTTAAAACAGTTTTTTTATCTCAAGTGTTGTTTCACCTGTTATAAAAAGTTATTTCTATGTCAGGTGTTCTTACACTTGTCATAGGAATGATGAGTCAACTACAAAGTTGACTCTTTCCAACACATTTTATAAGGAGTGTAATAACACTCAAAATAAAAAGAACTTTCTTTGATAGATAAAATAACGTCCAACATAAATTTTTTTGTCATATATTTATAACTTTGTCACTACATCACTTTCTATGTAGTGTATAATGTTCTTTTTGTACTAGTGTGGTAACATTTTGCATGTTTAAACTATTTTGTTGCAATATACATGTGATCAATGTGTAACACTGTACAATTTTATTAATTATTGTTGATTTAGTTGAAATATATGTTATGGTCGGTTGTGGTTTGTTATTGGGAAAACTATGGGAATTTAGGAGTTCCCTAGGAGTTATAGGCGTTTAGAGGATTTCTTTGAACAGAGGTATAGTTTGTCCATGAGAAAAGAATATATAAGGCTTCTTTTATGAATTGGGCTACATAAGCTCATTCTTAAGAATTCTAGAGATATAAACTAGTGAGAAGTGCTATAGAGTTAAGGTTTCCTTCTTCTTCTTCTTCTAACCTTCTTGGGACTGAGCGATCCTTTCCTCGAAGATTTGTGTAGTTGTTGTTGATTTAGGTCGATAGAGATGTGAATCAGAGCTTGTGGAGTCCTACGAAGTTTCTCCAGAGGAGCTCGATTCCATTCTCCCTTTTTCTTCTCTTTCCTCAAATTCATGAGGTTTTGAGGTAAGGAAAATTAGAACTTTGATTCTAATTGGATTGTTTGGATTGCACGTTGATTGATTGGTATCAAAACATTGTTGCGATTGGTTGATTTCGAATTGAATGATTGAGATTTTGAGTTTTGGTGTTTTGAGCTTATGAAGGTGAATTTTGGTGATTTGATCCTATTTGTTGTTGCATGTTCAAATTCTTTTGTGAAATGAGTTGTTGATAATGCATATGAATTATATCTTGCATTATATGTAGAAAATCTTCTAAGTTTCAAGTGGATATTGAACAAATTTAATACATAAGAGATACAGTAAAACAAATTATGTTAAAAAAATTTAAGTGAAGTTGCATTATAATTATATATATATATATA